ACCCCCCCCCCCCACCTGCCCCGTTTAATCAGACAGCCAGTCAAACACTACCTTTAACCAGTTAACCAATTAAAAAGGGATTGATTTTACATCCCTAATCTGAAGCAACACACTGCAACTTAAATACAAGGGAAGAGCATGACCCATACTTCCCTAAGCCAGGCATTTAAATGGTTCCACTGCAGGGGTTATGTGGCTCCTCAGCCAACTCTCCAGAACTCAGCTTGCTCTGAGTCTTAGCTCTCCCCTGTCCTCCTGCACTCAGGAGTCAGAGAGGCCAAAGGGTAAGGATTTAGGCTTACAAGGGCCACAAGATCTGACCCTCTGTCATGAGCCCAAGGCCCACCAGCAAAATCCCAGGTCTTTTTCCTCTGGGCCCCTTCACTGTATCCGTTTAACTGCACCAGAAACCAGCAGTAAGTTGCTACAAATTAACAACCAAGTATATCAGTTAGGTACTAATCCACTGTGACTCCAAGGTGCTGCAAAGAAAGCCAAAATGCTCCCCAGGCTTCTGTCAATTGGTCCTGCCAATTCCTTCATGATTCCCCAACAGGTGACTGGTCAGACCCGCAGCATCTGCCAGGCTGGCCTCCCATTTCTAGCTCAGGGTGGACAGGGCTCCAGGAACAGAGCTGAAAGAGGCCCCACATGGCCTATGCTCCACGTTAAATCCCAGGCACTAGGCTGTGCAGGCTAATTGGTGCTCTTCTCCACCAGCTCTCCATGGTGCCAGAGACTCCAGTGGATGGAGTGGAGCTACACGGACTCCCTCAGTGAGCAATTCCCTCCCTTGTGCTGGAGCTTTCTCTTTTCTCCACTGGCCCCATCAAGTCCCCACACCAATTGAAGCAGATGGGCAGCATTTTTAAGGTGTATTTTATCACTTCAATTTTGCAGGACACTAGCTGATGCAACACATAGAGCCAATCTTTTCAAACGAATGTGCCAAATGGTGGTTTCTCCCCCTGGTTTTACCTGGAACTGAAAAGGAAGGGGGCAAAACAGATGACCCTCCAATTCTTAAAAATCCAAAGCAAAGAGCTATGCCCCAGATTCACTATCAACAATGCAACCGGGAGAAATTCTCATACCTTGTGACCTCTTGCTGCAGTCGGGACACACTGGGGACATAGAACATTACCCCAAAGAAAAGCAAAGGCTCATTGGCAAATTTGTCGAGCTGTTTCTTCAGAGGTTTCTCCAGTTCCACCCATCGTGCATGCTGGTTCTTGCTGAGAAACCAAAGGCCAAAATAGTGTGTCTAGAAAAAGAAGTAAAATAGCATCAGTTTATTATTTGGGCCAGTTTCTTGAGACCACACATTCAACTGTCATCATAAATGCACATAAGAATGGAAGGCTATAGGGTGTCGATTTTCCAACTGACATGCAAGGCCAAAGTTGTCTTTTGATTGCTTTTTTGCTTCCTAGGGCTAACTTGAAGATGTAAAATAACTTTGAAATACAGCAGATATCACAATGCAGGACCACAGTGCTGTTTGCTTCAGTTTTTACAGGTTGTACCTCCCTGGTCCAGCACCTTTGGGACCTGACTGTTCTTGAACCAGGAAATCTCCTTGAACAGGAGAAGTCAATACCAGCACCTCTGCTGCCACCAGCTGCTGGGCTGTTCTGGTGACAGTTGAGGAGCCAGCCTTGCCAGAGTGGGGTCTAGGGCAGGTTACTCAGGGGAAGAGAGAGTGGCTGTGGTTCCCTGAGGCTGCCAGGTTGCACTCCCAACCCCCACCACCAACTGAGGGAATGGGGTGTGCTCCTGGTCCCTAGTCACGGGGTTCCGCATCCACCCTGCCTGTTCCCAAATGCCTCCCTGTCTCTGTTCCGGCCCCTCCCTGAATTTGAGTGCCACCAATGAGCTATTTGTTGCAGTTTGGAAGCTCTGGAAGGGTGGAGGAGGAGTTGCTGTGTGCAGGGCCTGGCATTTTCCCATGAGTGCTCCAACCTGAGCGCAGCACAGATGTTGCCAGACTATGGAAGTCCGGACCACAGAGGCAGAACCTGTACAGAGTTGCATGTTAAAGATACATCTTCCTGCCAATTAAAGACCCACAGCTGGTCTGTGTCAGCTGACTTGGGCTCACAGGGCTCAGGCAGCAGGGCAGCAGTGTAGACGTGCACCTGTTGCAAGCCAACTGCTAAGCTGAAAAATCTCTCTTCTGAGAGGTTCTGAGAAGGGTGAAGAGGTAGCACCCTCTACCCAGTCTAGCATAATGAGCTACAAAGAATCTATGCATGGAGCTTTAGGCGTCAAGTAAAGATTTTATACGCATTCAGACTTTTTTTATGATAAGTTTTCAAGGTCTCAAATTTGTTCTGCATCAATATAAAAACATATTATAATAGTTCAATTTTTCCCCAAAAACAAGTATTTTCCAGCCAGCTCTAGTATTAAGCCCTTAAAAAGTATGATGTTATCATGGTTATATGTAACAGTGTATTTCATATTCTCTTTGGAAATATGCTTAGCTCAAATATGCTTTATGCAAAATGTTTCATGTCACATATCATTGGCAAGTTTGTAAATCCACTGAATGTAGCTATTCTATATGTGGAGCTCTGTGTAGACACCAAACTTGTATCTGCATCTGCAAAATGATCCATGGATATTCACATCCCCACATGTGGATGCAGATACCCAGAGTTATAAAGCAGCTATCTGCAAATTAGCAGGGTTCAAGACACAAAGTTTAAATATTCAGCTGCATCTGAATTCACAAAAATAAGTTGTGGATATTTGCATTCACATCCATGGATGCATATCCCTGTAAATATAAAGCGGACATCCAGAGATTTATAGAATTCTATCTATTTGTATGCATGTATCATTTCTGTATCTGAAATTAGGAATATTGCTGTTGATTTATTATTGTGTCCATGATCATCAGAAAGAACACTAAAGAAGCCAGACACAGAGTCCATTAGCAAGAGACAATTGAGTGGCAGAGAACTGTCCTCCTACAGATGTGCTATAAAGACATGTGTCCATGTCACCGGATGCTGGAATCCATCTTGAATTTTGTACCATTCCACAGAGGTGTTAGGGAATTGAACAAAGGCATCCCACCCTAGGAAATTCTATAAGGCAAGAGAAGTAAACGATAGTAATCTTCAGCTAACCACAAGGGATACCTGAAAACACGTGGAAACAAAAGGACTGTAATGAAAGGGGCAGTGGACAACTTCTGGAACCATGTCAGAAAGGATATCTCTGGAACGAGGACTTTACATGAAATAAGAAATGGAGTGATAAATTATTATTTGTAGCAAATATTCTTAGTGTATTAGGCTAAGCTGGTGTGTTTTGTTTTCTTGTGATTAGTAACTTACTTTGATCTGTCTGCTACCACTTGCAACAACTTAAATACTACTTTTTATACTTAATAAAATCACATTTTTTATTATTAAACTTAGTGTAAATAATTGTTACTGGCGGGGAGAGGTAAAGCATTGATAAAGTGGGTGAACAATGTATAAACTTGCTCTGTATAAAACTTTTATACAGCATGAGATGGATTTATCTGGGGTCTGGTCCCATTGGAGCTGGGCACTTGGGCTCTATGTCAAGTGCCTTTGACTGAGCCTTCATTCACAGAGATAAGCTGCTCTCAGTGTCTGTGCTGCTCTGCTGTGGACAGTAACCCCTAACTTTGCCCCAGAGTAGGGGCAAGTAGGTAGACTCAGTGGTAATTCAGCACATCAAGCGACAGCTTCAGGGGACCTCTGTGACCAAACCCATCGTGTTATACATGCAGACACATCTATGATTTCTATCTACTGTCTAAGCCAAAGTGTACATTCCTAGAAATCCCATGTCATGTACATAAGGCTGGCGCTGTGAGGAACATAAGGCAATTTTTAGAAAAATGTGGAAGAAAATTGTACACATTTTTTTCCC